ACAGGCAGGTGTGATACTTGAACACATGACATGTTATGATGTCTGTTGATTGTAAAATGTTATACACAAAAAATGAGCATGTATTTACAAAACCCAACATCTCTATATATACACACACAATGAGCCGTGAAGGCATCTGCAAATGAACCAGCCGTTACACTTGTGTGCACACCCACCCGCTCTGACTGGGTTCGGTATCCCGGCTGCTTCGTTTCTTGGGAAGTAAACCCAAGTACACAATATTGCACTTTTGATTTGCGATTGTACGCTTATAATTTTGTTTATATGTTTTTTTCATAACCAGCAATGTATATTATATGTCATGAATAAGTGATAATTGTGTTTTAATTATGTTTGATTTTTTTGGTTGCATGTGACCTTTAAACAAGAGAAATTCATGAAAGAGTCCTGGCTAGCTATTCTCAAATGTTCGTAGCCCTACGAACTTCTTAAGGCCATTCTTAAAACATTGGCTACGATCAAAATTACGAATTCTTAGGGCTACGAACGTTTCGAGAATAAGGGCCCTGGGCCCACTTGCACAGAGTAATCTTAGTGCTACAATTATTATAAATCCTTAAGACCGCGATCTTAGGCTTCTGCTACAAGCGCCATTCACTTGCACAAAGCGATTGTAGGCTAAGATCATTGTAAGTTACAATCGAAACTTGTGTCTGCTTCACGCAAATAATCAGCTTTACGTTTGGAGATTGCTTTTATATTTCATAAAACTGTATGATTCGCCTCGACAGTTCAACAACACGGAGATTTAACGTCAGAAACATCGTTATTTGCAGTAGTGAACCCCATAGCTATCGAGTCGATATCATAAAGTATTATTCCCACTCGGAAGGTGTGTGAAAGAACATACCTTTGTGATAATCAAGGAAAGGATAGTAACGAAAGGTGTCTGCATGCGATTAGCAATGGCCGTGACCTTTTCAATACCTCAAGAGCAGTTAATCTTAGTTTTTACGCAATATGGGAGTAGTTTCCCTTGGCATATCATGCCGTTGTCGTAGAGTCTGCCATGCCAAATATATTTAATGTTGTGACATCGCATAGCTCCACATATGTTGTTTTTTTCGGTCACGTTCGTGTCATTGATTTTGTCTTAATTTATCATTAAAATAATCTAAAATTAGATAACGTGTAAAAACAAGTTTCTTTCTCATTCTTCAATCTAAAATTGAATCGGACAAGAGACAAAGGTTTTTAATCTATACATTTCAGATATAATACAAGCATCCATCAAACAGGAAAATACACTTGCTGAGGCATTTGAAATTTGTGTAAAAAGGAATTTCACAATAAAAAAAAGCAGTTATCAATGAAATAGGGTCAACTAATTAACTTACTGTGAAATTAGTGCGAATAAGTATTAAAAAATACATACTACACACACAAAGTATTATTTATTATTCCTATTTCCCTGTCGTGCATTTTTCACAACACTCCCGTAGCCGTGTCACCTTTTCTTATCTTTCAACCAATACTTGTGTGATATATTTGGGATTTTACTCAAAATCCCCCGAACAGATGCGTATTAAACAATGTCTCATTGGCAACCATTGGCAAATCATGCATTTAGGTGCTATATCATAAGAAAATATATTTTATATATTTTATATTTTATGTTTTAATTTTCATAATTACTAAGTCACTAAATCTAGACCCAAATATATTAATGGATTTTTTCGTATTTCAATATTTTCACATAAACATGGGTAGGGATTTCTGTGATTACAATATCACATTCTTAGTTCATGAATCAAGACAGTTAGAATGTAGAAAAATATGTTATCTTCCACGTAATAGTTTCCTTCCAAGATTTGTGGGATTTTTTTGCATGAAAATTCTGCAAGGTGCGATTGAGGGAGGTATGTGTTGTGTGCAGTAACCAGTTCCACTTTTTATTTGCGCTGAATGCTATGCGCACTAGCAGACAACTGTAGACAGGAGTTGAGTATAAGAAATTCCTACCTCCACCGTTGACGAGTTCGATCTGAGTTAAGATCGCGATCTTAAATCCATGTCGTTTTACAATCGCGCTAAGATCGGCTTTGCGCAAGTGGACTGCCGGTTCGGTCAATGCATTCTATTTATTAGGATTATTTCAAGGGGTTAGGGTTAGGGTTAGGGCTGAGGGTTTAGGGGTCAGGGTTAGGGTTAGGGTTAGGGTTAGGGTTAGGGACCTAATCCAATAAAGTTGGTCCAGTGTAATACGTGAGTTGTTTGTTGTTTTTCCTTTTTGCATTTTAATAAAAAAAAATCACACAAAAACGGAAAACCAAAAACGTCGAAAGTACACTATGAAAAGGAGTAATGTAGAAATTTTGGGCTAATGGAAATTGGCCTGGATTTTTACTCAAGCCTCTTTCACACGCAACATAAATTTTGTTCAGTAATGATTCAAAGGCTAACTCACCCTCGTGCCGTCACTACACATGCTCATATCTCCCTCGTTCCTTAGTGCGATCCACATTATCCTTACTGTGTTCCCTACATTACATTTCTGTCACAAAATCACCGATTTATATAAAAGCGCGTCATTCATGCATGCACCGTGAAATCTACGTCTGACCCCTGACGTCAACAACCCTTTTCAGTTTGAGGCATATCGGCTCATTCCATGCCACACGTTATCTTGCAGATTACGGAATGGGACGAGTGTGCCAAATGGCATCGGATCGTCTCGGCAGTAGATTAAAATCACGAGACACCAAGTCTACCCGTAACCTTCGTAATTGTCCGTGACCTTTTCGACTCTATCCGTTCATTTGCGTGAAACAAAGGACTGACTCGATAAATGTGCACATTGTGCCACAGTGGGCACGTAGCTCAGTCGGTTAGCTGTCGAGCTAACAATCCGAAGGTCGCGGGTTCGCGTCCGACGGGTTCTCACAAACTGGTTGGGTGTCTTAATGACACGTGACCTACGGCAGAGATCGTCCTCACGGGAAGTTGTGGTGCTGTATTCTAAAGGTGCTCCTTATGTTTTAATTTTCATAATTATTAAGTCACTAAATCTAGACCCAAATTTATTAATGTATTTTTTTGGTATTTCAATATTTCCATATAAACAGGGTTAGGGATTTCTGTGATTACAATATCACATTCTTAGTTCCTGAATCAAGACAGTTAGAACGTAGAAATATATATGTTATCTACCACGTAATAGTTTCCTTCCAAGATTTGTGGGATTTTTCCCCACTTTTATTTGCGCTGAATGCTATGCGCACTAGCAGACAACTGTAGACAGGAGTTGAGTATAAGAAATTCCTACCTCCACCGTTGAAGAGTTCGTTCTGAGTTAAGATCGCGATCTTAAATCCATGTCGTTTTACAATCGCGCTAAGATCGGCTTTGTGCAAGTGGATTAGAGCAATTGTATGGTGATTGTAAAGTTGATTGTAAGGCCCTAAGATTGCTTGTAACTAAGATTGTTCTGTGGAAGTAGGACCAGGTCAGTATTGACGCTTGGAGATGTACAAGCCACACAAACGACGCCAAGACTATCGGCTGGGCAGAGGGGAATGGCCATTGGAAAGTTGCACGGAGGTAGCTCTGCAACCGCTGTAGCTAGACAATTGGGCTGTCATCTTATCACCATTACACTGACGTTTTGTTCTTTTCCAGAGAAAATATTATGGTCAGGTGATAGACATAAGCAATGACTTTAGTTACTTTATTTATCAAAATCGGGGTACGCTGAAACCTTATTCATCCCCAGTCGTGCCTCTTGTTGAAACCCATTGAAGGCCCCAGACCTGTGATTGGTCAATTCCAAGGTAAACACTAATCAGCTGTGCAATTCATCGTAGTAAAGAAAGCACGACGGCCCATTTTAATGCACATACGCTTTAGTGGAATCGGTAGAATCATTTGAAAACAAGTGCTAGCAAAGGACTGATGTATTTTTCTGAACTTTTTTCAATAATAATGTGTTCTTACCTAAGGTTTGCATCACAAACAGCTTGTAGATTGATGGCGTGGAACCCTTTCCTGTAGACGTACGCGGATTCATTGTCACCGCTTGGTCATTTGATAGGTATAAGTGTTCCATCAATATTACTCGGGGTATCTCAGCGATTTGATAGAAATCTGACATTATGTGCCGAAAGGACGCAGGGTCGGGAAAGTTTATGTTGTCGAGCATACTGCTCAGTGCAGACACTGTTCTGTGACAACACCTCGATACACTGGACTGGTGTACTCAGTGGAGTACCTAGAGCAAAAAGCCACCCTTACTTAAAAAACGCATTGTTAAAAGAAACTGTTTCTCTGGGGTAAGGGCATGCGATCTTTTTGAAGGGTGCTTGGTTAATGCACGTACTTTGTGCAGTAACTGGAACAACGACAAACGAGGCATTCTGTATCGCGCATACAGCTCCTCGATCGTCACTCAGAATTTCGAGCTGCTTGGTTTTGTCTCTGAAAACCCGTTCCCTCCTTAAAAATCGGTCGTATTCTTTACAAAATAGCACAGTGGACGCCATCTTGGTCGATTGTAAGACCTCTACAATTGGTCCGGACCAAAAAGTTGTTTACCAAACTATCATTAAAATATTGACACAGTTCACTGTTTGTTACGAGGGAGGAGTGCAGAGAAACGGACAGCCAGCTGTTCGAGAAGCACGTTCACAGACAGTTATTTATTCATTAACCTGTGCTGTGCCGTCTCCATCCGTTCTCGAACACCTGGCTGTCCCTTTTCTCTGCACTCTTCCCTCGTAACATATAGTGAACTGTGTCAATACTTTAATGATAGATTGTTAAATAACTTTTGTATTTTTAGGACAAAAATTCTGCAAAAACCTCACAGAGTGGGTATGATGTTTTGATTATTATCAGCGTTTCATTGAGTATTTTATGTTTATTAGTTTTCGAGTTAGATTGCAATTCATCGGTCCGCTTTTGAGCCAAACGGACTATAGACCTTATAATGATTACAAACCATCAGAACATGGCAATCGTTATATCAGGTATATTTGTTTCAGTCAAATACACTGATGACATACCACCAGACAAAAGAAGTTCACCACGACTGTTGTTTGGACCAACGATGAATGATAGGATGTACCAACTCTTTCTTCATAATACATCTATAGTGGCGTATCCATATGAACATGGTGTTCATGTGATGTCAATCATCTACTTATCAACAACACAGACCCTCATTGTGGGTCATCGAGGACCTGACAACATACATTCCCACACTTTGAATGGAAGCGAGCATAAGATCTTCCTAAGGAATACCGCTGCCAAGTTCATGACAGTTGATGAGGAAGCAGGTTCGGTTTTTCTTGGAGATCGCGGGGATGTCAAAAGAGTGAAAACAAATGGAATGCAACTCAGAACTATCTACAAGAAAAAGATCACCGTAATGTCAATGGCTGTATATTCAAAACTAAAGACTCTATTTGTTTCGGTTAAAAGCCACTGTTTTTCTGTCAGTTATGGCGGGAATAACTTTAAGGTTGTAAAGCAAGGAAGTAATATGTACAGTATTGCTGTTGATACGTTGAATGATTTACTCTATTATAACGAAGGTAAACATATAATTGAAATGCCATTGAATAATACAAGCATTCAACGTAGAATTCAGAGTTCCTTTACTCCTTGGAATATTCTGTTTCACGGCGAGAACATGTACATTGGTCCTGGTGGAGGTAGTAACGTTTTTGGCGTATTAAAAGATCGTCGTGATTTTGTCCCTATTACTAATGTAACTAAACAGAAAACGTCCCGATGTTACATTTGTATTATTCCATAGACGAAACGGTTCGTGAAGGACAGTCAGCCATGATTACATACCACCTGTTTTCCTGTTTATTATTTTGGTTCCCATGTTTGACGTAAGAGGCGACTAACGGGATCGGATGTTCACTGTGAAGTTCAGTTTGAAGGGTACCTTGACATCATGAACGTTATCGTTGTTAAAGAGTTTCGGCGAGACTTGTTTTTGTTTTCCTTTGATGTCAAGATGTTCTGTGTACAGTATACATCTGTTGAGGTATTTTTACGAATCAGGAACATATGCAAGCAATGAGATATTTTGGTATTTTCAAAACGGAATGTTCGTAAGCCCATCGACAATTTCATTATGGAAAGAAATTCATTGTTTTTGCTTCCCGCGTCTAATATATATTAGGGTTTTACAGCCTGTTTCAGCCTGTTTTTTAAGCTGAGACAAAATGCGTCTGTGCACTGTAATGAACGTTTTCACATTACCTGACACATCAATAAATAGTCATGGTTATTGTAGTTTGATTATTTCTTTTGTATTTTCATTTCCGAATCATTTCCACATTTTCTACAATGTGATTTATATACTGAACATAATTGAAAACGCACCAGTCTAAAATTGTCCATATTTTCATCAAGATGGATTTCAGCATGACCATCATCAATGGATATGACTAACATGAAGTCGAAGGACATGTCTAGTTGACAAACGCTTTAGAAACAAATTCCTGTTCACAGTATGATACTTTATTCCAAAACGCATCAACCTGCAGCCACTCCATTGAAAAAAGCGCGAATTTCAGTCTGAAATCGTGCTGACTGACATTAAAAGCAGGTGTATGAGAAACGATTCTCATTGCTTCACTAACGATTGTGAAACGAGGACAGAGATGCCGAGGTTAACACCTCACGGAAGAGAACGTGCACTAGGCATTGATTTAGGTTGGCACAAGCATCAGGGATATTGCTCGACAACTTGGACTTGGCCACTCCACCATCTTTGGGCTTCATAGGCGACATCAGCAGACAGGCAGCACCCGTGACCTTCAACGACCTTGGCAACAACGTGTCACGACCTCCCGTCAGGATCGCCATATTGACCTTGACCATATCCGTGACTGAACAATGCCGACTGCCAGGACTGCTGCATTAGTTCAAGGTCGACGTGGGGTCATCAGCGCTGACACCATGCGACGCTGTCTACACGCTGCAGGGCTCCATGCTCGACGTCCTTACGTTGGATCAATATTCTGACTGACAGACACCGTAATGAGCGTATGCAATGGGCTAACAGGCATGTTCAGTAAAGTTTACAGCAATGGCATGGTGTGGTATATACGTAGTCACTGACGAGTCACGTCTTCACCTACGTAATGCTGACGGCCGATTACGTGTTTGGCGTAGACGTGGTGAACGTTATGCTTATCAGTGTGTGGTTCAGACAGACCGTAGGGTGGTGAGAGTGTCAGGGTCTGTAGTGCAATAAGTTACAATCACAAAACTGCCCTTCATGTCTGTCAACGGAGAGTTAATGCCCTTGACTACCGTGACCAGATTTTTCAGAATTACGTCCTGCCATTGTTCAATCACCACCAAGATGTCCATACGTTTCAACAGGACAACGCACGGGCACACACAGCTAGACTTCCCATGCAGTATCTGGCCCAGCAACACATCCAGGTTATTCATTGGCCAGCACAGTCGCCAGGTGTATCCCCCATTGAGCACTCGTTTGACGAAATCAGTCAAAGTCTTTCGCGGCGACAACAGATGCGAAACATCCGGGAACTTGAGGCTGCACTACTGCAGAAGTAGAATGCCATCCTCAAGAACTCTATTCGGACGCTTATTGACTCAATGCGGAGACGTTGCATTTCATGTGTCAATGGAAATGGCGGTCACACGCGATATTGACTTTTCGATTTGACCCCACATGTGTTTGATCCTTTCTGACTGTGGAACAATTAAATGAATGAGCGTCTTTTCTGTGTTGTTGTTTTTGTCAGTCGTCCATCTGTTATTATCCACTAAACAAATATCAATTCCTTACACGTGCTTTTAGTAATCTGAACTTTTGTAAGTGGTGCGTTTTCAATGATGTTCAGTATATTTTACAAAAGGTTTATTTTGAAATAATAAACACTTGCTTCGCAAAAGTTTATGTCTCACTTATTTGCTGTTAAATAGCAACGATTATAACATGTCTGGCTGTAAAGCGAGCTGTGTCACACTAAAACAAGTGCTTGATATTATGAGCATCTTGTCATCAGGGTAAGGTGAATGAAGCCTACAAACACAGAGTCTGGCCACCGTATCTAATTAAGTCTGTCCCTGCTCTCACAACTAGGCCCCTATATTGACCCGTTTGCTGGAATTACTTTCATTGCGAGTCACAGAGAGTGTTGTGAAAACACTGGTATGTATCTTTGTCTTTGCAAAGATGACAGTATGGTTGAATTGTGGGGAATGATTATACACATGGGGAAATCTCGCAAAACCCTGTAGTTCTTCATAACACCAATATGTTACCATTAACCACAGCAAAGGAACTAATTATAACTCAATTTAACTTACTATCTGCATAAATTTGCCCTCAAGATAGAATTAAATGGCAAATCTTAACGCAACCACGTACTCCCCCCCCCCCCACACACACACAACCAGACACACACACAAACACACACACACACACACACACCAAATGAACAATTGAATGAATAAAAATACCAAGGAAATAACAAAATCTGCAGTTTATTCAGAGAAGCAAACTCACAAATTGATATGAGTTCTTAGTCGAAATCGACCGAAATCATGGGGGGCATTAACGTCTCTATTTGTTGTTTCTCTGACCAATCGGCTTATAGTTGATGGATGGCAATCTATATCTCTTGGAACAACCCTAAATACCATGCCAGCATACCAATAGCTTGGCATCTTTGAGCAGTTGCTATTTTCTCAACTGAAATCAACTGATTTTCCAGTTATAGAGCTGTAAGAACAGTGTATATATATTTGACATTTGCTTATTAGCGGTTATACATACTGCCGGTGATAATCGCCTTTGCCTGCATTACGTTCACATTTCACATGAATGCATCGTGCTTCTATAAACATAACATTCACGTACCAGCGCACATTCACACATCGATTAACTCAACACAGGTTCTATACTAACATAACTTCGCTGTGCCTTTGAGATGCCTTTGAAATGACTCGGACAGGACAGGACAAGTTCGACACTGAGTGGGCAACTGGAACGATCGAGGCTCACCCCCATCTGCTAACTTTGGACCCCTCACCAATATATTAGTTACTTTTTATAGGGTTCGCATGTGACTCTCCTTTGTCACATGTTCAGATACAACGTTTTGATTCTTTAGAAACCATATGACGCTCTGATATCATGTTTGTACCATGATGGAAAACTATTGGTAGCTACTGGCTGTTTAATGCTCATTTTGTTGCTTCGCCTCCTGTTTTGATGTGTTCTGTCTCTATTGATCCACAAAATGCACCGGAGCATAAAACAGTGACAAAAGTAAAAGCAATTTTAGAATTCCAATTTTCTAACTATTTACTGATGCATATTGACCTAATAACAGGACGTGTAACAGATGAACAGATCTAAACTCACAGAGGTTAGAATTGTCATTCAATCGTCATAGATCAACAGATAAAAGCTATTATCATGTTACCAGCTATTATCTGCAAGGCTTGACAGCGATCGCTGTCTTTTGAAAATCCGTCGAGGCACCGACTGTGCCCAACACACAGTTAATTATTTTAGACTTCCTCAGATCACAGAGCATGAAGCTTTTATAATTGACTGGTAGGAGTTTGGGTGGAAGAACAAGTCGCAAAAGTCAGTGTATGAAGCCTTGGCTTTCTATTATTTCCATCCTATTGAGTGAGTTAGGTTAATTTTAACATATTTAACATACCTCTCGCATCTTAACTGACAATTTAATGCCATATGACAGTGTATTCCATTGTAAAATTGAAATGTAACTTATTACATTGTTTTTGTGAAGATTAAGACAAGGGCATGTGCGTTCTTGTTCCATCTAAACATGGAGTCATATGTAATCTTCTCGGACATAGGGTAATCTGTATGGAAATGTCTGCACGCTTTTCACGGCTTTACAGAGGTGCATGGTTCTGTTAGCTTACATTCTGAACATCACACCAATCAGCAATGCAAGAGACTAACTGAGTGTAATTCTTATTACGCAGGAGAAAACTCAGTTCTATGTTTCAGGTTTAAAATGTGGAACCAAACCAATATTGAATAGCAAATGACAACAGACGATCCGTTCCTGAGTAACTCTATATTTACTTGGGATATCCAACATTCCTTTGGTTAAGGTAATGACCTTGAACGGAAAAGGACAACCGGTTCAAATGAACACTGCATTCCAAAGAAGGATCATTTGTGTCAGAGAATCGGTGGATACACCGTAGGTTGCCTCAAACAAATGTTGACAGTATTTCATGTCTTCGGGGAAAGATGACATTCAGGTATGCTTTTGTAAGTGATAAATCCCCAAAAGTGTCAGTGAAAGGAAAATCCCCCACCTGTGGGTTAGAGGTATGTTCGTCTGTATGATTGTTTCACTGCACGAGTCGATCGTTCAGTGACTTAAATGCATGTTCATGATTTTGGAACCTTCAACTTAAGCTGGACACCTAATCCTCGAGATCGGGCTCGGGATGTGTTCTTTCACAAGCTCACTAATATAAATGTCTACCTCCGTATGCGTGTAAGTAACCTTGCACTCAGACATACGTCCAAGAGCTGTGTCAAATAAGGCGTCTTGTACCGACACCTAATACAAGAACTTTATGTTTTATTGATATAACTTTTTAAAAGAATGTCAGCAAAGAAAACCTGAAGCTTTTTCAACTGACTTTTTTCTGATTCAACACACAGTCTCAGACGTAAACGGACTTTTCAGTGCATTTCTAGAAGCTGGGAAACCGGTAAGGAAGTGCTGCGTTTAATATTGACTATTCGATGTTATTTAGCTGTGAATGTTGTTTTATATCTGGCATAGTGAAAGAAGATAAAATATACCTGGAAATGTCAGTGCGAGTTGTGTTTTTTAACTAATGTTGCAACACCATGTGAAGATCGCTTCGTGTGTTTCCGTTTAGTTTTCTAGCAATCCGAGATAGAACTGGTCTTCAGCAACCCATGCTTGTCGTAAGAGGCGACTAACGGAATCGGGTGGTCAGGCTCGCTGACTTGGTTGACACATGTCATCAGTTCCCAATTGTGTAGATCGATGCTCATGATGTTGATCACTGGATTGTCTGACAGCCGCCATAGAGCTGGAATATTGCTGAGTGCAGCGTTAAACAACAAACCAACAAACCAACCTTTCTATCAGTGTTCTGCAATTTTGCAAAACAAATCTATTCTGTTGTACAAGAAGACTAAAATACCAACAATGTCGGAAAGTATGGTCAACATGACTAGGCAGTCACACAATATTGTC